GTGGTTTGCCCTTGCCTCCTTCCTAGGGCTGAGAGAGAGTGACTGGCCCAAGGTCACCCATCTGGCTTCGTGTCTAAGAACTCATGGCCTCCTGGTTTCTAGGCTGGTACCTTAACTTGAATACTTCGCAAGAAATGGTGGATACATTATATGATGCAGTGAGAAGTAGGGACCTGAAAATTCATGTAACAAAGACCAAGGGAGTTGTATTTGCCAGAGAAAGTAGGACAAACAATTTCAAGTTATACATTAAGGGCAAAAAACCTAAAGCAAACAAATGAAATGCTGTCCTTCAGAAGAATGTTTACTAAAGATGGGGAAATGGATAAGAGAAATGCAACTGCTGGCAGAAAGGTAGCATGTAGCATCTGGTCTGTTGCAAGGACTAAACATTTATTGAAGAAGTGAAAAGGGCTGTGTATAAGAGTGTCTTTGTTTAAGACCATTGTATGCAAATGAGGGGCATGAAACATTTAAGTTGAATGCAATGGGAATGGGTTACTAAAGAAATGTGTGATAAAACAAGAAGACATAGATGGGGTCAAGAATTAACAAACATTAAATGAATGTGGATTGAATACAAAAATGAGTGACCAATATGAAAGACTGCTGAGGTGAATGGTCATGTAGAGAAAACTAATGAGGTTCAAATTACAAATCAGACCTAAGATATAAGAGTGGATGGGCTGAGGGGAAGGGAAAGTCCAAGAAAAGCATGGTTGGATGGAGTTGATAAGAGCCTCAAAAGGAACAGGTGAAAAGTACAAAATGTAAAGTATAAAGCCATGTATAGTTGTGGGGGAAGCAAGAATGGCCTGCAAGTTTAGAAATGTATGCAGAGATACAGTGAATGGTTTGGTGAAAACTAGATGTAACTGTATTTCCTTCTCTTTTTTAACTCATGTCTTAATTCCTTTTGCTCACTATTTTTACTCTGTTCCTGTCCTTTGAGCAATGTTGCTATCCTAAAAGGGAAGAGCGTGATGGCTTGGTATGAACGTCATTTCAAAACTTTCAAAATTTTCTCACAAGTAATCAATGTTTATCATGAGTTGAGAGCACATTGTTCTAATTATCTGTCTTGTGATAATGTTACATGAATTCTCTTATGATTTCCTTGGATCAATTTGTTTGCAGAAAAAATAGTTGCGTATGCTCCTCTCCCATTATTTTAAAAACTTGGTATAATACACTTTTTGATTCTCATACAGATAATCATAGTACACATTTTTCCCTTGAACATTATTCCCCCAACCCGTAGTGGCTTCTCCCAATTTTAATCCAGGTTCAATAGAGGGGAGGCATGACCGCCACTCGGTGCCATAATGGAATGTATACTGGTGGACTGTATCATTCCGCTCTATCACAAGAAATCCAAAGCAGAAGACATTCTGACTGAAGCGCTAGCCCCACACTCAGTGCTGCTACTTACTTGCTGGGGAGGCTGCATATAGCTCTGGGGTTGGAGGACCTGCTGGGCTGGCGCCGTGTGCCCTGAGGCAGAGTAGTTGGAGGCAGTGATTGGCTGCCCTGGGGAAGCCATGATGAATCCTGTCTGCTGAGGATGCTGGGACATGATTGGTTGCTGGAACATGGCGGAGGACGGATCAGGTGCTTCAGTGGAGCCTTGGCGGCTGAGGCTGATCTGCCCAAAGGGGTTGCTGAGCTCATCAGCCTATGGCCAAACAAAGAAGAAAAACTGAGTGGAACAGCTGGGTCCCCAAGTAGTCTTCATTAGCACACACACAGTGCCAGCAGCAATGAAAACAGCATCAGGGCATCAGCAAAGCATACAGGGTTAGCAAGTGACCTTTTTTGGGAGGCTGAACGAAAAAAGCACAAGCACAAATTGGTGGAAAGTGGGGAAAGGGAAAGAGAAAATCCAACAATGCCACTTTAGCACCTTGATTCATCACCCCACTTGTTAATCCTATTCTAGTCCTTTATACCAGATATAATTAAGAACTATTATTTAGCTCCCCAAATAAAAGAACAAGAGAATGAAAATAATAAAGTACTGATCAGCATTTCCACACCATTAAATTAAAACCATTAAAGTGCTCAGGGAACAAATGATACTTCCATTTTTGCCAGCTTACAATCTAAATGCTATATTGGAATTTGTGTTGCAACTGTGGAAATAAGGTGAGAGAATGAGAATCCTACCCAGAAGCAGTCAAAGAAGACTGACTGACTATGTGGGCATTCCTAAAACATGCAATGCATTTTAAGAACTCGCTAAAAAAAATGCTATCCCACTGAAGTAACACAGTTTTGAAGATGACTGTTATAGAAAAGGATGTCAGGCCACCAAAACAAACCATGCAAAATGGGGAGAACTTGTTGTGGAGAAAGAGAGGGCCATTTTACAGAATTAACTGCCTATTTCAAATAATAGTAAAGGTAGGGAAAGGGAAAAGGGAACAGAAGCAAGGCTGAATGAGCCCACAACTGAACATCAGTGATTCCTTCATTCTATTATGCTTACATGATGGAAGGACCTGCTTCCAGTGGTGACTTTCATCACATATATAGCTAACACTTTGTCCTTGTCAGACTATGGTGTGCGTGCAGGAATAACACCAACTCCTACACAGCACAGTTGTTTATTAGGCAGGGTAAGACAACCTGATGCCCTCCATAAGTTTGGGCTAGAACTCATACAGTCCTTTGAAATTCTCCATGTTGGTGGGAATGATGGGAGCTAACCTAAAATGTTGTGAGAGCAATGGGTTATTTGGCCTTCAGTTAGGAATTAAGATTTGTGAGACTCAAGTGAATTACAAGTATACAGCCTGTGTGTTTACATACATACATACACACATACCCATCACAATATTCCCTTTCTGATAAGCAATGTTATACAAAGCACAGAAAGGGAGTAAAACATAGTAAGTCAAAGCAATTAAAAGCATGAAATAAAAAAATAAAAGGAAATCAAACTAAATCTAGTTTATACCAACACCAACAACCTTTGCTTCCACCAAGTCCTCCAATGTGCTTCATATATTATGTTGTTTAAACTTCTCGCCTCTTCCTTTCTCAGGATTTCATCATCTCCATCTAATTACAACTTTCTCAGTCCACCCTCTCTTCTCAGTCCCTTCACTCTTCTTTCATACTATTGTTCTGCACTTCAGGCCTCCTTCATTCTCCTTATGTGACAAAATCATGTATTTTTTCTGTACTGTTTATTCACTTCCAAATTCAACCCACATTCATTCTTGACCCATCTCTTTTTAGTTTACCACACATACTTCTTAAGGGACCATTCCTACAGCGTACAACTTATGTTTTCTTTAACATACCCACTCTCATTTCCACATAACGACGTGGGCACATGCAGGCTGTTAAAGCATGGTCATTTTTACTTATTTCAACAAATGTTCACTCTTTACAATCCACTACCTTTCTACCAGTATTTCGTATCTTAAAATTTCTCAATTTTTCCATGTTTGGTAAGCACTTACTAAAGGTAAGGTACACAAATTCATCTATTTGCTTTTGTGTTCTATTTACATATAGCTTGCATTGATCACTTCATTTTCCTTGTAAAACACAACAACTTGCCTCCACATTCCTCATATTCCTCATAGCATCATATAATCCAACATTTGCTGCAAATCATTTCAAGTCCCAACTAACCACAGGGCATTGTCTGCACATGAAAGTACACATACATTCACATCCTCAATTGACACACTTCTAACATGCCCACAAGCATTTCTTATACATTTATCAAACACACTAAACAACCAAAGGGACATTCTATATCTTTGTCTTACTCCCTGCTCAATGTTGAACCATTTGTTAAATATCCCATTTATTTTCTCAAATGGTTTACTACATTCTTAAATTTCTCAGTGAAGGAGGAGCAGAAATCTGGTCTATAGACACCCCCCCCCCAACCTGGCATAAAATCAGCACTGCAGTTACCAAATTTGGCTCACTGTCACTTCTCCTTCCCTTTCAATCAGAATTCTGTCAAATACCTTCTCAGGTGCTCTTAAAAAGCTACGCCTCTGTACTTATTGTCTTCACTCTTGCCACCTTTCCTTTTGTATAAGGAACAATAGCATTTTCTCAGTCATTAGACAAAGAAACAACTATCATCAGCCCATGAATTCCTACTTTCATATGCACTCAGAATTAACTTGGATGACACCAATTCATATGTTCAGACATACGTTTTAGCCCTTTCATTCATACTTAACCATACACCTTTACTTTCTTTGGAGCTATTGCATTCTTCCCCATAACATGTTTTTTCCCATTTCATTTGTTAATTTATGCTCTTTACCATTTACTCCTGTTACATTCCAAGTCTCAATCTTCCTTATGCTATGACCGTCACCATAAAGACTGACAGATACTAACTTTTATTGCCCATCACGGCTTTTGTCAGTTAAGGATTTCATATGTTTTTTTTTAATAAGCTATAAAACGTATAGGCTGGGTTCCCAGTCACAGACATTCCTACGCAACATGTAGCATTCCCTGCTAACACTAAATACAGTATCAATCCATTTTGGCCAGGATGCCACAAGCACAACCAAAACCCAGTTCTGACCCAAGCAAGGTCAAATTATTTTATGCAAGCTAGGTTCAAGATTGCATAAAACACTTGGAGGTACATGCATCTTACTGAAACACATGTATGATGCCTAAGTGTTTAAGTTATCTGGTACAGCCTTCCTGGACTTGCAGTCCCATATTCCTCTAGGCCAGTGTTGTCCAAACTTGGCCACTTTAAGATGAGTGGACTTCAACTCCCAGAATTCCCCCCACCCCCCAACAAGGCGTGGGGGTTTTGGGGGGTGAGGGCCACCCATTTTTAAAGGGGAATTTTTTGTGTAAAAACTCTCTTGGAAGTGTGTTT